GAGTTTGATCTCGAAACGTTGTTGGTTGGGTTATAAACGCAGTACGATATGCTCGGAACCCTTTCTCCCCGATTGAAAGGCTATTAAGCATGTAGCCCTTGTCAGCTTTCCCTTGACTAAATGATCCAATCTAAACCAGATGGGTCTGACATCCTTCATTTATACAGTAAAATTCTTATCACCATTTCTGTCAAAAATTATGATATCAATGCCTGACTTTTAAGTGAGACACTGCATAAGATGAGGCTATCATCCATTTCCGTAAAAATCAATTATGGTGATGACAGCACAGTCTAAAGATGTTAACAACACAGTCTACAAAGTCGTTAACGCCTTAAGATCTAGAGGAAATTGATTATATGCAACATTCTTTAATTAGTAGGATATCGAGCACTCATTTAATTAAGTCGATAAGTAATTAGTCCAGAATGAGTTTTAAAATATATGCCCAAGCTTAAAATTAATAAATACTGCACGATTCCCAACTACAACTCGTCCTTGACGAAAGTAATCAAAATAATCCGAAATTCATAAAACTTCCCCCCCCCCACGTGTTTTGATGTTTCAGCTCCACGTCAGAAAGGAAATGGGTTAGGAAACTTAGATTAAGGAAAGGCAAGGGACTTTGATTTTGGCTTAGCATCTTCTAATACAGGTGTTCTTAAGCCAGGAGTATTTCCCCCCCCCCCCGAGGGGATTTCATAGTTTCAAGGGGGATGATGTCAGCTTTTTATTTACCAATCAAATATTTAGTTTTAATATATGAATACAAAAAGAAAACTACTTTTATTCAAGTTTTAGTACATATCAATATGTTCTGTACTTTTTCTTGGTTAATTCATAAAACACAGTAAAAAGTAACCTAAATTTAAATAAATGCATATGTATTTTTTGCGTTTTGGAAAGCAGAATGACCAAATAGCAATGGCGAAATACATGGAGTAAAAAAAGGTTGGGCCACTGTTCACTCCAATTTCATTTTACTACTCATTTAAGTTTCATTTCTGTAACAATTTCATCCAAACGCATGCTTTCAGATCTTACTTTGTGCATAAAAAATGACAAAATATTTCTTTATTTAAGCTAGATTAACAATCGAACTAATTCTAAAAGGAGTATGCTTAAGTTATTTAGACCCTATCATAACACACGCAATTGTTAATATCAAAGGTTGAAACAAAATTTCTGGCAGCTATGTTTACGCTTCGTTTCTCAAAAGCGTAAATGCGAATCAATTCCTTTCCGCATGTTCTCGGCAAAGGTATTCCTCTCCAAAAGCAAACAAAAGTTCTAATTAACTAGCCAACCAATCAAACCACTGGTGAAAACAGTGAAAAGCAATGAATAACCTAGAATCGGGTAAGAAACGAATTTTAAACTTCCATTGCTTAAATATTTAAAAACTGTACATATTAAATCAATCTAAACCGTGATAATGTTTCCAGTACTTCTTACACTACATACAGTAAAAACGCTTAAAAAGCAATCTCCGTCTTGCTCTATTTTCGTCTATAAAAATGACGAAGCGGAAAATCTCACTACCTCCTCGGTGAAAGTGGAACAGTTGTTTTCCTTATTTCACCGGCTTGTCATTAAATTAAAGAACTCTAGGCAGGAGGTAACACGATGGAAGCATTACGCAGCACCTCAATATATTCTCATATTCCTGTGTAAACATCAAAATATGAACTTGAAAAAATTCCATTTTTAGCGTCAGCTTAAAAATGGTGTATAATTAACATTCTGACAGCCTTAGCAGTTAGTTCCTGCAACTTACTATTATTCAATAAATAAACTAAAACTGTTTGCTGTTGACAGGTTAATTACAGTAAAATGTTTAATGGCTATTTATCTAAGGTGGGATGCTTTTGATTTAAGATAAACTAATACACGCATATGGGGTATATGATGAAAGCAACATCTGGGCTGTAAAAGCAGATATCAGGAAACTACAGCTTTGATTTAGCGGGCACTGGTCATTGGCCAATTTAACTGTACTTGCAATAACTATAAAAGGTAAAATGAGAAGGGAAAAATAAAATTCATGAAGACAGTGCAATGTTTGTAATCCATGAATTACAAAACGCTCTAGCATTGAACTAAACTACCTTAAGCATTCACGTGCTAATTGACTCGTATGTGAAAAATCTTCAAATGTAACAAGATGGAGTGAGGAAGAGAACAAGAAAGACAAAAGAAGAATAAGGTATGGATCTCTTGTATTTTCTATCTCTCAGTAATCTTAATGACTGCCCGTCGCGAACATACATGGTGAAATTATTATCCTTCATTTCCAATATCTTGAAATTTTCCTATAAAATGTGTGTAAATATACGTTGTAGTATAGAAATGAAATCGGAAAATATAACAGGATGCTCTGCTATCTCTGAAATGCACAAAATATACTGATTCAGGAACTGCGTTTGTATGCATAAACAAATTAAAATTAATCTTGCTTTAAAGCGATACTTTTCCGAAAGAAGCTTAATGGATAACATCACAGTTCATGAAGAATCAGCATTTTAAGACACTAAAAAGGGTCCATCTAATGTTCAAAGACTACAACTTGAACTTGAATAAAAAGAAATGTTTAGAGAGAGAAGGTAATCGACAAAATGTAACGATCGGAACCTGGTGTGCCCTAGATAAGAAGTTTAAAAATAAAAACTCCAGAGAGGTGTGGGCTAGAGAAGGAAAACAGGAATCGTAAGTTTTCTTTAAGCGATTGGTAAGCAACAGTCCGAGACGTAATTTTTCCTGAGACGCCATGCTTAGCGAAAAGGATGCGATACGCTCTGATTAACCACAGGCAAGAAATCGGGGCGTCGCTTGCTGCCAATGGGTCGCACATAGACAGTCATTAGCTAAATACACTGCCAAATCATCCCCCCTCTCATAAAAGGCGGCATCAACCAATTTCTGTTGACTTCACTTATCACAGATGCTTTAAGTGGTTTTAGAAAGTCTTAGAAGAGAAGCACCCGAAGTCAAATTTTAGAGTACAGCTTTGAACATCGCGAAAATCGATTTCTAAGTAGAGAAAGTTTATTCCAGATGTATTTCACTGAGACACCACCACCTTCATGGCCTGATTCACCCAAAGGCAAACAAGGTATATGCCTCGTGTTCCCACTTTAAGAAGGACCCCCAGATCTTTCCATAACATTTAAAATATGTAAAATTTTAAATTTATTTTTTTCCCTATTCTAGATTTTAAATATATAAAATACTGATTCAGAATATAATTTATATATTATTTGTATTCAGAACAGAAGTAGGAACGAAACTTTAAATTTCTTGTTTTATACCTTTCATCAAAAATCAGATACTAGACTATTGATTGTCTTGCATTCTTATTAGCAACCGATATTCTTGAACGTTGTAACTAATGCTAATTTGCATAGCCAATCTTGGCAATTGCAAAGCCATCACATTTGAAAGTCATGAAGCCAAGTGAATATGATGGTCTTTTAATTATCATAGGCATGGCCTTATACTTGGATATTAAAATATATAAACAATTTAATTCCATTATTATGGTCTTATATCTGCGCTTTAATTTATTCGGATTTGAATTAAAACCATTAAAAATTCTTTATCCCTTCCCCAGGGCAAAAGCAAGATCATTATTAAGCCACATATAAGCTTATATTTTTTATAACTGAAAACACGAAAATAAAACACGCAGAAAGGTTAAACCAATCTTTCGTTTAAATAATTTAAAAATGTAAATGGAAAAATTTTAAATTATTAAGTTATTTTATGTTATATTTTATTTAATTAGCAGTTTTGTAAATCAGATCTTGGCCAGCTTGTATTTCATACTTGCGCGGATTGGCGGCATACAAATAAAAAATGTAATCTTGAAGGCAGCAAGACGATATGTAAATTTTGAGCATGTTAAAAAGTTGCTATTTCAGAAAATGACAATTACATACTGATATCCTAGCGATCACGGCAATGCCTAAATGCACTTTAGTTTAGAGCTTTTACAAAATATAACGCACATTTTGTTTGTTTAATCGATTAGGGAGACTCATGCTAAAGCTATCTGTCTGCGCTTAATACACGTATATGGAAACCTAAAATAAATAAATGCATAATAAATACGGTTAACTGAAGAGCTTCGAAACCCAAACATATGTATGATCGACTCTTGTCAGTGATTAGAAATTCGTTGTTTCGAGCAGAGAAATTAAATTTGCGAAATTCTCCTTTATTGATTCTATAGAATTTGTCTTTACAATTCCCCCCCCCTCTTTTTTTAAGGGCACCACGACCTGAAAAAATAAATAAAACAAAATAAAATGAAAAATTAAAATAAAGCCTCAAATTCTGCCCAAATTTCAATAATACAACTACGGATATACTCTGAAAGATAAGACGAGATGCATAAATTCTCTTTCTAACAATTTTTAAAATTTTACTCATTAGCCTTATTTTTCTTTGAATCAATACCACAAGGCTCTTAAATTTAGAAATTTTTTTTTTCTTATTTTATGCATAATGACCATTCCAGAAGGAACTGATAATTGATGAAAATGCTATGTTGCAATATAATGAAAACGAAACGCAGAAAGAATCATTAGGAAAACAAATGAACCTTAATTAGGATTATTTAGTATGCAAAGGTTACGTGGCTCTGAAGAGCGATAACTACGTTTGAAGATATGCTTAAAGAAAACAGCGATCTTACTCTCGTTACACGTGGAGAAATCAATGAAAACTTCCACGCAGCTAGCCCGTTCACCTGTATTTGAACCGTTGTCAAACTAGCGGTTTTCAGCGATTTTACCGTTCGGCCGCTGGTGGGTCCAGACGAACATACTCTAGTTCAGATTTTAAATCATAAATCAATTTGGTTTTTAAGCTTACTAAAATCTGTAGTTCCTGATTACCTCTTAAAACAGAAACTTAAATTATAGAGTGACAGTAAATCAAGTCTTTAAATTATAAGATCTAGTTTAAGTAGAAGAAAAAAAAAAAAAAAAAAAACTCACTCTAAGGATGGTTTCCAGCTCAATGGGACTCTCTTCATTGTTATCAGGCTGCTAAAATGAAAAGAATAAAATATTTTAAGCATGCAGCAATTTTGAATACAAAAAATACTTTTTTTATCTGCGAATTATTTTAAAAATACATGAGGCGACTTCAACACCAATGATAAAAAATTCTTATCTAGAGACCAATTAAACATTACAAAAAGAAACAGAAATATTTCTGAAATAAAATAATGTTCCGAAGTACAGAACAACAACCGATCACTTAAAAGTTTTCCCGAGATTATGGCGAAGCATCATTAATAAGAAATGTTATGACACCCCTCCCCCTCATGTATGTTTAGCATATCCCATATTTTACAATACCAAGATTTTTTTTTTAATCTCAATATTTCTATTATCGAAAGTTTTGCAGCGATATTTTGCAAATTTTAAAAGCTGAAACATTGCTTTCAACCAAATGATAAAGTTGCTTCATCAGAGACATTAATTACCTCTATTTAGAGTGCGATGTAATGATATTAAAACATAAAAGTTATTACGAGGGAATGCTGTGAAGGAAAATATGTATAGTGAGTTTTTATAACACAGGGATACAATGATATTACGTTAAACAGGTTTGATTTGGTGCTATCTGCCTAAGGGAAGGGATGACTTCGTGGAGGCCTTTCTGAGGGAAACTGGCTCGTATACACGTTATACAAGAGGAAAACTACGAAAACACCGATGCAAATAACCCGTTCGAGGGATTCGTACATCGGACCGAACTACCAGTGTTCAGCGACTTTACCACTTGGCCGCTGCGTTACACAGGAGACTGACAGAATAGTGTTCAAGGTTATAATAAGGTAATATTGCAGCTGACCTATACACAATAAAAGTAATGTTTAAATTAGGTAATAAGTCATAGGTTAAAAGTAATTAACACTGTCGTTATTAAAAGAATTTAAGATCCGGCCTTAATTCTATACTCGAACACAGCAGAAAGTGTAGTTAGACTTATAAGAAAATTTTTTAGCATTTTAAAGAATTGTGAATCAGAGCAAATTTTCATGTTTCAAGCGCATAAATCATATCGAATTATAATCCTTGCATTTATAAGTGTAGAGAATGTAATAAAAATTCTCGTGAGATAAAGCAATTTGCAATTCGGTTTCCTTATTTTTATTAATTTCTCGCTAGCACAAATTTAACAAAAGCCTACTTCTGTGTAATCAATTTGAATTAGATTTTGAACAGGCAGCAATTATAAATTCTTTGGTGGAAAGCATTTGAAACAGAAAACATTTTACAAAACACGCATAATGTTTGTATGAGCTTCTTCAGAAGACTGATATCTTTACGCAAAAACAGATTTTTATTTTATTATTATTTAAACACTTATAATTAATAAATATGTAACTATTAAATTATCACTCAGCTTTTAATAATTATATGTATTTATTAATTTTCAGTCAATTATAATATTATTTTCTTTCTGGTATCTTCTTTACAAAAGTTTAGATTATGGCAAAGCACATGAGGGCTATCTGTCTAAGTAGAGGGAATGCCTTCGCGGAAGACTTTCTGAAGAAAATTGGCTCGTATGTACATTGGGCATGGTGAAAGCTACGACGGCGTCCATGCAGCGAGTCTATCCTCCGGAATTGCGAGCTCGAATTGACTTATCAGCGTTCTTCGACTTCACCGCTCGACCCGATGGTGAGCCCCTCCTTTTCATGAGAAGAGCTGTCATACGAATGTGGATCCCGACGCTATAAGTTTGAGAAATACTACATTTTGATAGGAGATAATGAAATACACAATAGAATGTCGTTTATCCGAACGGCAAAGAGCAAGGTCATTTTGAATAATGTGTTAACTATTTTTGGTAGCCGAAGAAAGAGCAATAATAATAAATACCTATAACACTGAAAACAAAAATATGCATAATCATATATCTGCAGACAAAGTTTATTTACGTATTCGAAATTGGGCAAAATTTAACTTTAGATGCAAGCAGAATTTGTAGAAATACTACTATGCTTTACAAGGAAACAAAACTTTCTCTTTCAAAAAGCAAAAATATTCTGCAGAATACTTTTATTATTGAAATACATATTGGAATGTGCTGTATATTTACATAGCTTCATCGTTTATAAACGATGAGGTTTCTGTTTTTTTCTTTCCCCAGTGAGTTTGTTTCGATTCTTATCTTTCAACGTTAACAACCACTACAGCCTGTTTTATTAGCTTAGATCAGAACTAAAACAAATGAAAAAAAAATCTATCGCCATAATGTATTTCTATTTTTCTGTATTCAGACAAATGCAGGATGACATTAGCAATATTGCAGCTGATAACAAATAGCCACGGGTTAGCTATCGATTTTTATCAGTTCCGTTGGCTCTGAAGCATGTTTCTGCAATTAATCAACATTTTACTGGTACGGAACTAATAATATTGCTCTTAAAGTAAGAAAAAATTAAACAAGCTGATTTAAAATACTGCAAATGGCTGATTTTCAACGTCAAGGATTCCATGCTGTTTTTTTTTCCACCGTTACTGTTATACGAGTCTTTACTATCGATAAAAGCCAACAAAAAAACCTTTAATGGATTGGACTCATCTAAAATTTTACGGAAGGAAACTTATAAATAGTTTAGAAAACTTAAGACTATTACTTTACTTAGAAAACTTAAGAATATATATTTCTAGGAAAGTAAATAACTAAGTAACATATAACGAAAGTCAAGAAGAAAACCATAAAACACCATAGAAATTAAATATCATGAAATCCTTTGTGAAAAGGAAAACGATATCATGATAAATTATACGATAGTTTAAATTATCACGAGGGATCTCTTTTGTATTATTAGTACTTCGCATGGATACAAGGCATCATTTATTGGGAGATAACTTTAAAAAGGTTTTTCATAACTACCACGTAGATATAAAAAATAAGTAAATTGAAAAGTTATTCAAGACCATTTTGTAAAGATTATCAGGAAAAAAAAAAAAAAAAAAAAAAAAACAATGTTTAATTGGAAGAGATCTGCAGCCTCGGATTCTGTAGTACATAAATTATTTAATACGAGACTTCTCCGTATATAAAAATTAAGGATTTATTTGAAAATTCGCCTTATATTCTACGTATCCATGCGCAAACTAAGTGTTATTATTACGTGAAAATTTATGAGCATACGATTATATGGGATTAAGACCTTTCTGTTATGCTGTTTATCTAGAATTAAAGGATTTAAATGCATTATTTCCAGTAACGACTGAATCTCTTTAAAAGGTCTTGTTAGATGTCTATTTTTGATTGTGTCTAAACCCTTACAAATCAAAATACCCCCAACAGAAAAACCTTTCTCGTGCAGTTGGTTTCCGGGACAGAAATATCATCCGGGCATTTGATCTTCTCTTCGCATTCGTGTACGCACTTAAATTGTCTTCTGTCGAATTTTTTGCATCCTTCCTCACTTGAAATCCAAATTCACACCACAGCTATTCAGAGGACTGTCGCCATCACTACAACAAGCAATTTTAAAGGACGAGTTTCGGGATTTCTACCAACAGCTTAAAGTACGTTGCGAAACGTGTTTAGATGCTGAACATGACCATTTTGAATGAAATATAATTTAAATCAATCTCCATTACATTGCATTATTTTTCTAATAGAAATCATTCTGAGAAGTTTCTGGTGTTGCCTAGTAAAAAGGGGTTAAAAATATTTGTTTTTAAAGTTCATATATATTCGATGGTACATAACTGGTTTTAAATCAAAAATAGCAATCAGCAGTAAAACAAAAATTCCAATATATTCGTAACAGACCAGAAATTCAAACTCCTTAGTAAAGGTAATAGGAAAGTAAACTGGACGAAAGGGAAATGAAGGAAGGAAAATATATATCCAGGAACGCAATTCCATAAAATAGTCACATTATCTTAACCGGTAATCTGCATATAAACAAGCCTCTCCATCTCTTAAGATGGCAAATCCATTGCTGCCGTTGAGAGATTATAGTATTAAGATAATGTTGCACATTAAAAGTCTAAGGATTTACTACATGAAAATGATACAAGAATTTCAAAGAGAAGTTTTCCAATGAAACTGTAAATTCGTAGAGAAACAACAAATATTTATGATTAGATTTGGAACAAATATTTATGATTAGATTAAAAATATTTTGTTTGCATTCTTAGCGAAGTATCAACAGTAATGGCCAGATACGTCATCAGTGACGTCACAGGTGCAATGCCGTCCATGATGTCACAAGTGGAGGTGAGTTGTTTTAGGATGCTGGTTAAGATGATTAGTAGATATCCTGCTGCTTTTCGTTTCTGTTTACCAACGGATCAGTGGGATTTTAACAGCTTTATGTCAAGAAAATTTTATGTTTTATAAGAAAGAGTATTTCACTCAAGAGTTTCAAAGAGACAAAATTTAATTCTGTGGCAAATGGTTCCGAAAATAATCGATATTTTTCTAAATAACAAATTAAAATAATAAAATGAAAAATCTCTTGCAGTAGATGATTGTGAAAGCCACTGAAATATCTGCGACAGAGGAAAAAATGATAACTGCAATAAAAATAATTAACAACCACAGACTTAAATTGCTTAATTTAAAAAATATTGGGCAATGTAAGGAAGCTATTGTTAAATATGTGATAGAAATTATGTATAAAATTAAGTAAAATAGCTAAGATTACGAAAAATAAATGCTTCCTTAAACCAAATACATAACATATATGTTAGAATTAAAGAGAGCATAAAAAACATCAAAATACTGTTTGATATATAATTGACATAATAAGTAACGGTTATTTATGATGGGAAAATATAAGAAATCCGTTAAAAATCAGAATATGTTGAAAACTAAAGCTCCGAATGCTACTTACCGAGCGGAACTCAGTACTCCAGAAATATTTAATAATAAAAAAAAAGTTTTTTGACATATTTTTATAAATTACATTTCACTGGAGAAATATATACAAATTTATGCACAAACAAATAATTTCTCTCCTTGGCAGAGAGTACGCGTGTCAGCAGTTGTTTTCGATGGC